CCCCAAAACCCCAAAACCCCAAAACCCCATAGCTGATTTTATACTGTTTTAGTAGAATAAAGTTTATAATAAATTAAATGTCATCTTTATTAACATCCGAGAGTTTACTCTTTGAGGAACATAAGTTAAACGAATTATTTAGCATTCAAGTGAATTACAATTTCGAGGCATTGAAGTTAGTCATTCAAAAATTGCTGAGCAGTAATCATAACTAATAAAAGCAGATTGATGCTATTGTCAGCTCCATAACTAACAATACTCCCTTAAATTTGCCTAAAGCAGGTGGGCCTGGCTCAAGTCAAGATTAAGTTAATGAGCATGCTGTTCTCATCAGATAGCTTAGAGATATCTTCGTAAAAAATAGGGAGGAACAAGAAAAGAAAAACTCTACTTTCCAAGATGTTCTGAATCTTCACAACCTAAGTTTATAAGGTAAGCCAAATATACGCATGAATGTTCTTGAGTAATAATCAAAAATTCATTTTTAGATATTGAGCAGTAACTGAAATCACTAAAAGAAGTGATTACAACAAAAATACCCTCGATTGATAAGAATGCTTCTTATGCAGTGAAGACTGTCAACAATCTCAAAAATCAAAGTAACAAAATAAATCTTTAGGTTTTATTAGTGTCTCAACTAAAGGGAGCTTTGGCACCTGATATGGAGATGAGAGATGATGATAATATGTCTCAAGCGATTTCCTAATAGCAAGATATTCTATAAGATCAAATAGACAAAATGAATACTTAAATTGATGACCTTACTAGAGAACTGTTGAGAAGACTAAAGGATGAGGAACTTAATCGATCAAAACACGATTAATCACTAGAACTTGAAATTTCTAAAGTTAATGAGAGAATCCAAGAGATTACTGATAAAATTTAAGCTGGAATTATTGGAAATGGTAATACCACCAATTAAGCAGCTTAAAAAGTAAAAGTAAAGCCACAAACTTCAGGCAATTAAAGAAATCCAAAAGACCTTGGGGATGAAGAAAGTGATGATCAACTTAAAAAGACTCAAGAAAGGAATCCTTTAGATAAGGAATTCTAAACTCAAGATAACTATTTTAAACTCTCCCCTGATCAAGTTTACAGTTATGTTCGAAAATAAGTACAGAAACTCAAAAGAAATATCTAAGAAAATCTGGATGTCCATCTCTAAGCCCAAAATGAGAACAATCAAAAGTTCTCTGATTTAAGAAAGCTGATTAATGATCTGAATATCAATTTGAATCATTAGCTTAACGAATAATAACAACAAAATAATGCTAAATTATAGGAAGAAATAGTAAGGCTAATGGAGGAAATTGGAAAGAAGGCAGACTAAGTTGAAGTGGATAAATTCTATGATGTGCATAATAACTTTGAGTAGAGAATATCACCACTTGAATCAATGAAACTAATGATGGAAATGGCTCAAGTCACTTAAGAGGAAAGAATTAATACTTTAAAGTTTAAGATGGAGGCGTTTGATCATAAGATGGGATTAGTCTTATCTAAACTAGCAGTATTATCCAATGGCACATTGGATAAGAGTCTCACTCAAAGTATTGAAGAAATTGCTATGTAAAAAAGGTAAATTGAAGAAAATATGAGTACCTCTGTTGGAGGAGGAGGCGGAGGAGCTGGAAACCGAGAACTTACTGATAAGGTTTAAAGGTGTTACCATTAACTTGAGGAACTAAAGAAGTCCTATTTCAAAAAGATGAAGGATGTTGATTCATAGCTATCTTAAAAAGCAACTAAAGAGCAGCTTAGCGCTACAGAGAGTAAATTCATAAATATTCATAATGTTTTATTTAGAAAAATTAATAGACATTCTTGAATTGACTTTTGGATAGTTAGGTGATAAATTTGCTGCTAAAAATCAGACATCAGAGTCATTATTTAAACTCAAATCATAAATGAAATCTATCTTTGAATTGCTGCTCAGCAGTGGTGTCATTAATTTAAATGAAGAGGATTAGAATGAAGATCATGCTATGTTTTCAAAGAAGCAACTTAATCCATTAACTTGTGCTTCTTGCGAAGGCAAGATCAAGAATCTCTCATAAAAACCTGGGGGATACACTCAATGGAATAGAATGCCATTTAGAGACCCTATGGATAGACTGCCTAGAGCAGGTTAAGGTTTCTCTAAGATACTTCAAAGTATCAAAACACCTCGAGATGTTTAATGGGAAGATGATCATTAACACATTTAGTTGGTCAATCCACCTACATTGAACCAAAACTTCTAGCATTAAGCTCATTCTTTGACTAAAACTAAACTCTCTAAATCGCATATGCTAATACCCTAACCCATTTAGAATGATAGTCTTTAGCAGTAGCAGATACAGCAATAGTAGCACAATCTAGACTTAAATTTACTACCTAAAATTACTACTCCAAGAAAAAATGACTGACCAGAAAGCTTAATATCCCTATTCCTAATTTAACCTCTTATTCAATTAATCTTCACTTATGGGGTTTTGGGGTTTTGGGGTTTTGGGG